TATGACATTGACAACCATATACCCTTCTTTCTGTGCGTTTGTGATGCCGAAAAAGCAACTGAAACACATGTAGTGTGAACTGGCCCTAAAAGGTTATTAGAGTAAGGGAACGGGACTGACCAGGAATTGTGAATTCAATCAGACTAGTGGTGAGATACAATCAGCAATCTTATAATAATGTGAGATCTGAGCTGTAGCTGATAGAAAATGAGAGACACATTCACTTGATCAGTAAATAATAAGTTAAAAAAGAGTGGGGCGTGATCCATAGATTTGCATATGGGACAGGTGATGATGGGGCATGGGGGAGGGGGTCAAGTTGTATAAGGACACAGATTTAAAAGAAGATAAAAAAAAGTACAATTAAATATACACAGCGTGAAACTTGCACACATTTCCAACTTGTCAGAAGAACAGGACGCAGGTAAGATTCACCCCCCTTTCCACTTTCTAGTCATTAAGCAAAATCTTAATTGATTAATATTACTGGCACAACCCAGAAAATTGATCTCCATTCTTTTAACATTCATAAATGTCAAGGAGCGTATAATATAAGGGCAGAAATCCAGCCATGTACTAAGCCAATTAACCTAACAGCATGTCTTTAGAATGTTGGCAGAAACACATCCATACAGAGAAAGCATGCAAACTGGGATGCAGCCATGGCTGGGATTAGAACCCATGACCCAAGTGCTGTAAATTCTGAGTTCTAACCACTAAGCCACTGTGGGAGACAGAGTTGGAGCTCCAATGTAGAATAGTTACATTGTTTTTTAAAAATGATAACGCGAGCGCTGGTCAAATTATTTAGACTACTAAAATGGTATTACACAAGATAAATATAAATCTAGGTATAGATATGAAGGTAGCAGCTAGCACTCAGGATATTGGCAACAGTCCAGAATAGAAATATATTAAAGTAATAGTGCAGCGCTATAAATGCATGTTATCAATCATAAACGCATGTAAAATCCAAAAAGTGCAATAATTTATTTCAGGTACTTATATAGCGCTGTCAATTTACGCAGTGCTTTACACATGTATTGTACATTCACATCAGTCCCTAACCCTCAAGGGGTGTACAATCTAAGGTCCCTAACTCACATTCATACATACACATACTAGGGCCAAATTGGACAGGAATCAATTCGCCTACCAGCATGTCTTTGGAGTGTGGGAGGAAACCCACGCAAGCACAGAGAGAACATACAAACTCCGTGCAGGAGGTGCTATGGTTGAGAATCGAACCTACGGCCCATTTGCTGCAAGGCAGACGTGCTAACCATTAAGCCACTGTGCCGCCCATTAATGATGATGTAAACTGGTAAATGGTGCTAAAAAAAAGTTCATATAATCATTCCTGAATAATGGAATGTCCTTCGTGTGAGAGTACCAACTCAGAGAGTGCCTATGAATGGCACGTGTGGTTTATCCGTGACGAACAGTAGTGCATGAACTCGTGAAAGGTAAACCACCCTATGAACTTTTTTTAGCACCATTTACCAGTTTACATCATTATTGCAATTGTTTGCACTTTTTGGACTTTACATGCGTTCATTATTGATCACATGCATTTATAGCACTGCACTATGATTTAACATAGAATAGTTACATGATTAAAGAGAAGGAAGCTATATCATTATATTGGGAACGTAGAACTAGACATTCCAAATTATTTGAGATATAAGTGTGAAAATGTTTAACATTTGAAAATAGAATGTATGACATTCATTAGGAAATGCATTAGTTGTCTGATCATTTTGGAGAAACAGCAAAAAAAAAAAAAAATAATATAGGTGTACTTTTTATTTTACATTCTAGGTATTCTCATATGTAAACAGAAAAAAACGCCAACGGGACAAACCCAGCACTTGTGCGCCACCTAGCAAACATATCCGGTATTGCACCTAAAAATGGTGCCAGGCGCGATTCCACATTTACTAACAGGAAAGTAGACACGCTTTTCAATGAGATTGCTAGACGCCTCTCAGAAGACTGACAGGTCTTAATTGATTTAATTGAGTCTGCCTGAATGTTCAGAGTCTGCTGGTAGACTCAATTCTTAGTAAATCAGGGCCTTTTTATTCACATGAAAAAAAATCACTATTTTTTGCCAGGAAATTAATTTAAACCCCAAACATTATATATTTTTTAAAGCAAACACCCTAGTGAATAAAATGGTGGGTGCTGCAATTTTCTATGTCACCTAGTACTCGCGCAGCAAATGCAATTTTGAAAAAAAAATACACTTTTTTTACTTTTAATGCACAAAAACACAAAATATTGGCCAATTATTCAGAACAATATAAAAGATAATGGTATGCCGAGTAAATACATACCAAACATGACATGCTTTAAAACTGCGCATGCCCCGTGCAATGGCGACAAACTGCATACATTTTTAATATCCATAGGCAACGTTTTAAAAGCCTTTACAAGCTATCATTTTAGATTTACAGAGGAGGTCTAGTGTTAGAATTACTGCCCTTGATCTGATGTTCGTGGCGATACCTCACCTGCATGGTGCAACCGCTGTTTCCATACTGTTATTTTGATTTTTTGAAATTATTTTTACAATGTCGCTTTCATTTTTTTCACTTTTAATGCTATCACAGGGAATGCAAATATCCCCTATAACTTCAATTAGCATTGTCATATATTCTTTTTTGAGAAATCTGGGTTCTATCAGACTATAGATATCTCCTCTGCCCTTACATCATCTAATCAAACCAAGATCAGTGTGATCAGATGCTTTTCCAATTTACAAATGCCACTGTTTATATCCTGCGAAACTGAAGTGATGAAATGCTTGTAGCTTCTGATTTCTTGGGCTATAGAAATGATTGGCACCATTCTGGTCTCCAATCAGCTCTATGGTCAGCTGGCAGAAACACTGGCTGCATTCTCAGGTTCTTCCCATGGCACGGGACTCCCTGAAAAGGCCATGGAAGGCAGCGGGGGAGGGTGGACATCATCTCCCGCTGCTTGTAAAGGCAATCCTGCAGTTAGCTGGGACACTAGGATTGCTTTTACATGAAAGCTGATCACCAGCTGAAAAAAATTATACCAGGATGATGCCTGCAGCTGTAGCGGATTTACTCCTGCAGCTCCCTTCATCCGTCAGTTGGGGCAGGTGTCATCTAATGCTGGGGGGAATCAGCTCAACTATAGGAGCCAGAAAGTGCTTATATAATACAGTATTTATTGATGAGTTTAAGTCACAGTAGTAAAAAAAATCCACATGGAGTAAATAAATTGTAAAATCAAATACCAAGATGGCCACCGCTCCTTAGTAGCAGCGGCGTTTCATCAGCAATGTAGGCGCCGACGCGTTTCGTGCAACAGCGCATCCTCAGGAGTATGCCCATTTCTTCTTTTTTATAATCATCCTGGTATAACCATTCAAAGTCCAGTGTTGTACCAGTACATCGCTAGTTCTTGTTGGGTATATATGCTATGTTCTTTTTTTTTTTTGTATGCAGCCTGTGGACTGAATGAAAAAAAGAGAAGAAATCTCTGCCAGAAAAAGTGTGTGGTATTCCCACCATTACAATATACCGCCCTGCATCCACCCATGTGAGGGATTTCCAGCAAGAAGAATCGTGATCGGGAACGTGCATGCGCAAAGGATATTCCGCAGAAGAATTGCCGGTTGTGCGCATGCGCGCAGGAATGCGCGATCTCGCACATGCACACACACGTGCACACGCACGGCGAAGATTGGCGCCAGATGGACCATTTAGGGAGTGCCTCTGCTCAGCTTCACTGCTGACTGGTCTTCAGCTCCCCCCGTGTCCTGCTTGTTCTTGTACGATTCCTTTGTTGCTGACCTGGCTTGTTCCTGACCCGACTCCGATTGCTCTCCTGCTCCTGGTTCCTGACTACGGCTCTGCTCCTGACTTTGGCTTTTCCTTCTGATTCTGTACCGCGCTGCCCGACTGTTTATGACCCTGGATATCCTATGACTCTGCTCCCGTCCTGTGTCCTTGCTACCTACCTTGCTCTGCTGCACATCTGGCAATCCACTGAACCTGCCTGGTCTATTTCTACGTTGCCCAAATCAGAGGATACTCTGCCTACCAAGGTCATCATCTGCAAGTGCCACAAGCAACAACCACTGGCGCTCTTGTCCCCCTGGTTCCTACACTCCCTCTGTTCCAACCTCAGCGGGGTCAGGGCTAGTGACACAAGTGAGGACGACCTCGTCAATTCAGTCTCCCATCAGGTACGTGACAGTACCAATCAGCCAATGCTGGAGTCTGAAAGGGAGACCTCCCAACTGGGGGACATTCGCCAATCAGTAACTAACTTGTTCGACGTGATACACGACCTGCAGAAAAACTTCGAACACCTGGAGAGTAAACTGCTAACCGACTCTAATGTCCTCACAGACACAGATCTCACGGCAACCTTTGATGCAGCCACTCAAACAGAGACCAATATGATCCTTGAAACCTCTGCCCTACCGGAACCCCGGGTGCCTACGCCTGAGTTCTTTACAGGAGACCGCCGGAAGTTCAGGACTTTTCGTAACTCCTTTGAGTTATATTTCTCCCCGCTCCCCAGGACCTTCTCTTCATCAAATACTAAAGTGGGATTTATAATCACATTTCTTAGAAATGAACCTCAGTGCTGGGCATACCACCTCCGTGAACAACATGATCCGGCCCTAACTTCAGTGGACTCATTTTTTACAGCAATGGCACAAATCTATGCCGATCCCTTCCGGCTCCAAACCACGGAATCTATGCTCAGTAAGCTACAGCAAGGGCAAAGGCCTGTGGAAGAATATGTTACTGTCAGGAATGGTCTCACCATTAGTGGTGGGACTCATCTGCCGTGTAGGCTGCAGTACCAGGGCTGGCCAGCGGGTGCTCTCAGTAACCAGAAGCTCACTCCTGCAGTCAGCCATCACCTGAGGCTGATTGCAGGAGGTGTATTTAAGTAATGGCCAGACCTGCAGTCAGTGCCTTGGTGTATGTTTCCCATGACCCCTGTACCTGCATCCTGTCTGCTTCCTGCCTGATCCTGATTCTGCTTTGATCCTGACTCTGAACAAACTCCGCCTGTCCTGACCTCGGCTATTCCTGACCACTCTTCCGCTCGCTCCTGGTACCCTGTTTGCCCGTTTGCTACCGACCCGGCCTGCCCGACTATGTTTGATTGTATATATGGTTATCTGTTGGGTGTGGGTTGTTTGCACTGTGTTATGTTTACCTTGCACTGCGTTTGTGTTGTTTAGTCTTCAATAAAGTCTTGTTTACACTATACCTGAAGCCTGCGTTTCCCTGTGTCAGTCCACACACCTCTGGTCATACCTGGAGCCCTGACAGTTACTGATTTCTGCATCTGGAGTTCTGATACTCAGTGGAACGAGTCTGCTCTCCGCTATCAGTTCCATCTTGGTCTTTCTGATACCCTGATTCTGGCCCGAGTGGGGGTACCAACTAGATTGGAGAGTCTGATAGACCTGATGATCCATATTGACCGTCGGATTCGGGAAAGACAGGATGAGAGGACTAACGGGAAGATTCTGATATGCTCTGAAATTGGGCCCTCTACGAATGTTGTTTCATCAGAATCGCCCACCAATCCAGCTAGGAGGAGCTTTTGGAGACCACAGTTATCCGCAGCAGAACGCCTTTGACGGCAGAAGTGCAACCTCTGCCTCTACTGTGGTGATGCAGGTCATTTCGTGGCTACCTGGCCGATAAAACCTCATAAGCCTAACTGTTTTTACATGATGCACCCTCAAGGGACAAGCCAAACGCACCTCTCTTTTCATCTGCAACTACAACTGGCCAAAAGGACAATCACGGTCTCGGCCATCATAGACTCGGGTGCTTATAGCTGTTTTATGGATGTTAACTTCGCTACTCAGAATCAGATTCCACTCCGTACCAAAGCACAAAGACTTGCAGTTCATCTGGCAGACGGTTCTGGTATCAGTTCTGGCTCTGTAACACAAGAAACCATGCCAATATTCTGCTACTCTCCTTCAGGACACCAGGAATTCCCATGTCTGGATATTATTACCTCCCCGATTTTTCCAGTTATTCTCGGCATGCCTTGGCTAAGAGCACACAATCGAACCATCAATTGGTTGTCTGGAGAAATCTTCTTCCCTTCAGAATATTGTCTGACTCACTGTACTCCTAAAGAGACAAGTGTAACAACTCCTCTTCTCAGTATTCATTCTGATCCTGAGACCATGAAACTCGTTCTGTGGTATATCACGAGTATATGGACGTGTTCAATAAAAAGAGTGCCAATAATCTTCCTCCTCATCGTTCCTATGACTGCCCAATTGAGCTCCTGCTCAGCGCCGAAATTCCTTTCGGTAGAATTTACTCCTTATCCGAAGTCGAATTAGAGGTCCTCCGGGGGTATATAGATGAAAGTTTGGAAAAAGGGTTTATTCGACCTTCTACATCACCAGCAGGAGCCAGCATCTTCTTTGTTGAGAAAAAGGATCACACTCTGAGACCTTGTGTAGACTACCGTGACCTAAACAAAATAACGGTCAAGAACCATTATCCCCTTCCTCTAATCCCCAAATTATTTCAAAGGCTATGGGGAGAATGTTTTTTCTCAAAATTGCACCTGAGGGGTGCACAACTAGTGAGAATTCGGGAAGGTGACGATTGGAAAACGGCCTTTCGAACCCGATTTGGGCATTTTGAATATCTGGTAATGCCTTTTGGTCTCTGTAATGCCCCAGCAACCTTCCAACACCTGGTAAACAATATATTTCGGGACTATCTGGATCTATTTCTAATCGTTTATCTGGACAACATCCTGGTTTTCTCCAGTTCCATAGAAAGTCATCGGGATCACGTAAAGAAAACTCAAACTCAAAGCCAAAGGCGACTACTCTGTCCTCCTCCTCCTAGACCTCTCCGCGGCCTTTGACACAGTCGACCACCCCCCTCCTCCTTAATAAACTACTCTCCCTTGGCATCAGAGACACCGCTCTCTCCTGGTTCTCGTCCTACCTATCCCAACGCTCCTTCAGCGTTTCCTACAACGGTGCCACCTCCTCCTCCTCACTCCCCCTCTCTGTTGGGGTCCCCCAGGGCTCTGTCCTTGGACCCCTTCTCTTCTCCATCTACACCTCCTCCCTTGGCAAACTCATACACTCCCACGGCTTCAATTACCACTTCTATGCCGATGATACTCAAATCTACCTATCCACCCCTCACCTCACCCCCACATTCTCCGCCCGCATCACTCACCTCCTAAACGACATCTCTGACTGGATGTCGCTCCATTTCCTCAAACTCAACCTCTCCAAAACCGAGCTTCTCATCTTCCCCCCAGCCCGCGCCCCCCCCCCCATCCTTTCCATCACTACCAACAACACCACCATCAATCCCGCCCAGCAAGCCAAAGTCCTTGGCGTCATTCTGGACTCAAACCTTTCCTTTCAACCTCATATCAAATCTCTCACAAACACATGCAGACTCCACCTCCGCAATATCGCCAAGATACGCTCCTTCCTTACCCCAGACACCACTAAACTACTAGTACACTCCCTGATTATCTCACGCCTGGACTACTGCAACTCCCTCCTCACCGGCCTACCCCAGTGCAGGCTCTCCCCGCTTCAGACCATCCTGAACTCAGCGGCCAGACTCATCCACCTCACCAGCCGCTCCACCTCTGCCACCCCCCTCTGCCTCTCCCTCCACTGGCTCCCCATTGCCCAACGCATTAAATTTAAATTGCTCACCCTGACCTATAAGGCCATTCACAACACTGCCCCTAACTACCTCACCGACCTGATTCCCAGGTACCACCCTACCCGTACCCTTCGCTCTTCACAGGACCTCCTTCTATCTTGCTCCCTGGTCTCCTCCTCCCACGCACGACTGCAAGACTTCTCCAGGTCCTCCCCCATCCTCTGGAACTCACTACCCCAATCCATCAGACTGTCACCTTCCCTCCTCACCTTCAGGCGCTCCCTGAAAACCCACCTCTTCAGGGAAGCCTACCCCACCCCCACCTAACAGCCGCTGCCCTTCCCTCCTCCTACCACTCCATCCCCCACAGCCGTTTCCTCCTGTGCCTCTACCCCCTCCCCTCCTAGATTGTACGCTCGAAAGAGTAGGGCCCTCTAACCCCTCGTGTGCTGTTTGATGTTACTGTTCTGTTTCATGTATTGTCCCCCCTCTATTGTACAGCGCTGAGCAAACCCTTTGGCGCTATATAAACTCGATAAATAAATAAATAAATAAATAACTCTGGATAGACTACGCCAGCATTGCTTCTATGCAAAGGCCGAGAAATGCGAATTCAAGAGGCAATCCATCCAGTTCCTTGGGCTTGTGATCACTTCTGAGGGCATCTCTATGGACCCCCAAAAGGTGTCCGCCGTCTTAGAATGACCCATTCCAGGAGACAGGAAAGCAGTGCAGCGCTTTATAGGGTTCGCAAATTTCTATAGGAAATTTATCAAGGAATTCTCTGGAATCATCGCACCAGTGACACAGCTCATCAGGCAGCATATTCCCTTCAAGTGGACTCCTGAGGCCCAAACAGCATTTGAGCAATTAAAAATCATGTTCACGTCCGCACCCATCCTGAAGCATCCAGACCCTGCTCTAACCTTTGTCCTTGAAGTGGACGCTTCGGAGAACGTGGTAAGAGCCATATTGTCACAAAGACAGGGACTTAAATCCCTTCTGCACCCTGTCTCTTTCTTCTCCCGGAAATTAAGTGTTTCTGACAGGAATTATGATGTGGGAGACAGAGAGTTACTAGCCATCAAGGCAGCTTTGGAAGAATGGAGCTACTTACTGGAGGGAGCATCCCATCTTCACAGATCATAAGAATCTAGAGTACCTGAAAACGGCAAAACGCCTCAGGCCACGACAAGCAAGATGGGCACTGGTTTTTCTCTCTCTTAGTCTTCCATCTGATGTACCGTCCTGGATAAAAAAAATGGTAAACCTGACGCACTCTCCCGTATGTTTCCCGACCCAATTGTGCAGTCGGAACCTGACACGATTTTGCCAGCCAAGAACTTCTTACTTCTCCAGACAGACCTTGTAACGCAAATAAAAGAAGCCGTGGATAATCATCCACCTCCCATAAATATGCACCTGCAATTAAAGGACGGTCTGTACTTCCACAAGGAACAAATCTTTGTGCCTGAAGAACTTCGGACTCTTATTCTCCAGAGATGTCACGACCATCCATTAGCAGGTCACTTTGGGATTCACAAAGACTTCAGATTTGGTCTCTCGCTCTTTCTGGTGGCCAAACACAGTAAAGGATTGCCAGGACTATGTGAGATCTTGCACAGTCTGCCTGAGGAACAAGTCTGATAAAGCCAAGACTTGCGGCCTGTTGGAATCCTTGCCTGTACCGGAAACACTTTGGAGTATGATCTCAATGGACTTTATTGTTGAACTTCCCCCATCCGAGGGATTCACCACTATTTTTGTAGTAATTGATCGCCTGTCCAAGATGGCGCACTTCATTTCCTTGAAAGGGAATCCTTCTACCACGGAAACTGCGTCCGCTTTTATCAAGGAGATCGTAAGACTACATAGCTTTCCCTTGAATATTGTGTCTGATCGAGGAGTGCAGTTCACATCCAAATTTTGGAAAGCTCTGTGTGAGGCATTAGAGATCGAGTTATGCTTTTCCTCTGCTTATCACTAGAGATGAGCGAATCGAACTTGGCGAAGTGGAATTCGTTTCGAATATTAGGAAAAATTCGATTCGCATCGAATCCGAAAATTAGCAAACTTCGGATGCACGTATCGAATTTTTCCCGATCGGCCGGGGCCGATTTTCATCCCTTCTACAGAAGGAAAAAGTGTTCCTTCACATTTACAGCGGTTGAAACATTGTATCTATTTGTTTCCATTTAGGATACAGATGTTTTTATTCGGAAACAAATAGATACAATGTTTCAACCGCTGTAAATGTGAAGGAACTGTCAGAGAACTGTCAGAAATAGCGGAGCTCTCTGCAGATACACTTTTTGCTGTACTGGAATTCTTCTTATTTTCATCCTACTTCTTCTTCTACTTCTTCTTCATCCTCATCCTCATCCTCTTCTTCTTCTTCTTCTTCTTCTTCCTCGTCCTCATCTTCTTCTTCTTCTTCATCCTCATCCTCTTCCTCTTCTTC